GGGGGTCCCTGTCCCCGTACGGTGCTGCCCCGTCCATCCCCTCCCGGGACGGTGTGGGGAAGGGAAACACACCCCCCCACACACACACCCTGATGGGGTGCTGGGTCCTGGGGTAGATGGGTGATGTGGGATCCACTGTCCCCAGCTTATCCTGGGGGTCACATCCCAGCTGGGGTGGTCCCGGGACATGCCGTCCTCCTGGGGCGCTGCCCGTTCCCATCTGGGTCCCAGGGCAGCACAGGGAGGGCTGGCTCGGCCCAGGTTGGGGTGCTGCTGCCGCGCACCTCTAGTCCTGCCGAGTCAGTGGAGAGCCTGCACTCAGGAGCTCTTTGCTTTGTAGTATCCTAGAATCCCAGTTGGAAGGGACCTTGGAGATCATCAGGGCCAGGCTTTCTAGAGAAAGCATGACCTAAACAGGATGTCCCAGCACCCCGTCCAGCCGAACCTGAACAGTGCCCAGGGCTGGGGAGTCACCGCTTCCCTGGGGAGATTATTCCAATGGCTGGTTGTTCTCACTGGGAAAAATTTTCCTCTTGTGTCCAGTCGGAATCTCCTCAGGAGTAACTTGTGCCCCTTGTCAGCAGTCTCCAGGACAGCTGATGGGCCTTGGGTACCAAAGCAACACTCTGTCTATCCCTACTCCCTCCTTAGAGCACCAGGATTTGACCTTGGGGCTTGTGGAAGTACAGACAATCTGGGTATGAGTAACAGGACTCGAAGGGGGTTTTGGCTGAGCCACAGTTTCTCTCATTTAAAAGAAAGCTGCTTTTTCTGCACAAATGGGAAGTGTGGAGTTTCCCGGCTCTGTGTATCGGTGTGAGCCATGGGGACACCCTGCAGCTTCCATAGAGGGGAAGAGGGAACCGGAGCCAGTCACTTTTTCCCAGTGAGGATGTGAGTGCATGGCACAGAGGAGGGATGTTGCCTCATTACCCATTGCCCAAATGAGGCAACGTCTGCCTGGCCAGAAGTCAGCCCAGCCAAGCTTGGTGACTTCATAGTGATCTGTGTGTTGCTTTCATTTTCTCTTCTCTTTTCCTTCAAATGAACTCTCTTAGGTTTCTGTTTGAGCATAAGCCAAAGTTGCCTGGAAAAGGGCTTCTTTCAGGAAACTTAGAGAAGTGCTGTGAAGTGGAGCTACAGTTCGGCTTGGACTGCAATTTGGGTAGCAAGAACATGAAAGGAAAGTCTGACCTAGTAGTCAGAATGGAAAGCGTGGTGGGAGGGTTGTGAAGATTTAATCAGAGCAATGTAATAGCCTTCCTATGCAAACCCAGCCTGGCTTAGGTTCCCCATTGCTTTGAGCATCTGTGTAAGGGCTTGCTTCTTCAGAGGGCAGCGTTAATAGCAAACAACAGCTTTGCTCCTTGCAGAAGCAAAATCAAGTGCTGCATCTTGTTTCATTAGCTCTGGGGATAAGATCAGCGCAAGAGAGCAGGTTGTGCTGCCAAGGAGCAGTACCAGAGGGAATGCCCCTGCTGTCAGTGCTGTTAGCTGGCTAGAGAAGATCCAGTTCCTGCTTACTGAATCTCGGCTCCTTGGCTGCTGTGGTGTTTCTCTGTGCTCAGGATAAGGTGTAAACTCGAGGTACGTCACCCAGGCCGGCCGGTTGGAAGGAGGTGGCCCCAGCGCAGGGGCAGTCACCCAGCCTGAGCCTGATCTGTTTCTTGAGGGGGTTTGTGCAGAGTGGTGCCATGCACAGCTCCTCCTGCTAGCAAAAGCCTCTTCCTTGGCTGGCCAAGTAATGTGCATGGGCACCCTCCTCTGAGTTGCCCAGCAGAAGCAAGAAGGGACCCTGGGGCTGTTGGAGACCAGGCAGTTCTCATGGACCAGTGCTGCTGATGTGTCTGTAGCACCAAACAAAGGCTGCTGGAATTCAGCCCTCCGGCAGGGAGAGGAATTAATCACCCTATTCATTCGTGCCAGCCAGCTTGTGTCTCCCTGCTTCTGTAAAATCAGGGTATGAATTATTTACACCAGGCTTTCCCACCGTAGTAGTGCTGGTGTACGGAGCGGGAGCTGGGGCATGTGGTGCTCAGCACCGCGTGTCCCCCCGTGCTGGGCTGGTGGCAGCGAGGGGCTGCTGGGCCATGGGCCTGTGACACGCAGCATCCTGCACCTTCCACACGTACCAGTCCTTCCTAAATGAAAGCCTGTGGGGAGGAGGAGCAGCACTACACCGGTGCGTGTTGGCATGGAAACGCCGGTCAATTGATGCGCCATCAGTTGCAATACAAATCATTTTCTATGTTTGCAGCTCTTGTTTTTCCTTGCTACAATCAGGTGGCATCACTGTCTAGTGCTTGTCACACTGCAGCGCTCCTGGAAGCCTGGGAGAACAACAGAACCATTAAAGGAACGGAGCTGTGTAGGCTGAGCTCAGTGAATGAGGCTGCTGAGGCTCTGACTCCCGTGGAGCAGCGGGAGGAGGGATGGAGGCAACTCGTGGCTGGCCAAGGAACGGGCTGGCGGCAGAGCTGTGCAATTCCAGGGGCCTTGGGAAGACTCTTGCTGTCAATGCTGCATGGGGAGAAGTCAGAGTTTCCCTTTCCCTCTGCTGGGGTTGAGCCTGGAAGTGGCTGTTTAACTCAGCGATGTGTTGGGAGTCAGGTGAAGAAGGGCCACACGTTGGCCACCCAGGTCCTGCCACAGTTAATCCTAGGAACATCGCTCCAACAGCCTCTTCCTAGTTGACCTTGCATGCAGGGACTTGTTACTTCTTTTCCTCATAGACAGTCACGTAGTTTGTTCCCCCACAGCTTTGGGCTTGTTCATGATACTGGTCATCTCAGCTCTGGGAATAAAAGATAAATGGTGACAATTGGTAATATCTCATAGGATTTGCTGCTCAAGTGTTTAGAAAACCCCGTGTTTTGAGTGAGGGGGTAATTTGGATCATGGGGTTGCTTAATATGTTGTACTGAGCTTTCCTAGCCCGCTGGTAGGATTTGAAGTAGCAGAGTCACAGCACAGCTGGTCAGATCAAGGGGGTTTTGCCAGGGGTGGGTCTTTGGCCACATGATAGCAGCAGGGAAAGGATGCTTAGTGGGATTGGCCTTAAAGCTCCTCCAGCTCCAACCCCCTGCCACGGGCAGTGCCACCTTCCACTAGAGCAGCTTGCTCCAAGCCCCTGTGTCCAACCTGGCCTTGAACACTGCCCGGGATGGGGCAGCCACAGCTTCTCTGGGCACCCTGTGCCAGCGCCTCAGCACCCTTACAGGTGTAACTTGTGCCTAAGAGCTCATCTCAGTCTCCCCTGTGGCAGGTTAAAGCCATTCCCCTTGTCCTGTCCCTCCATCCCTTGTCCAAAGCCCCTCTCCAGCTTTCCTAGAGCCCCTTCAGGCACTGGATGCTTAATGGGATCTTCACAGAATTATGGAATGGTTTGGGTTGGACGGGACTTTAAAGCCCTTCTAAGATGCCTGAGTCCATGCAGGTCATGTTTGTCCCTTCAGCCCTCTCAGGCCACCTGTATCCTGCCTCTCCTCCAGTCCCAGCTTCACATGCAGGCGGGGCCGCTGCAGTCGTGCGTCCCGGCCCCGCGCTGGGCGCAGAGGTGCTGTTTCTCTGGTGATGATGATGCTGTACCCTGGCAGGATGAAGTTGCTCAAACTCCCACGGGATGTGAATCACTGTGGTGTGACACATTTGGCGCTTCTCACGCTGCTGCCTCTGCGAAGAGGCACCACAACTGGAGCTACGCAGGCTCTAAATATAAAACCTTAACTAGAGCTGACCACTAACGAAGATACTGAGGTTGATCAACAAAAACACCCTTTGCCATCCTGGTGCCGCAGGGCTGGGAGGTACCTCTGGAGTTACCCAGTTCAGCCCCTGCCAGTGGAAGCAACCTCATCGTAGGTGACTGTAAGTCAGCTTTCCTGCAGCAGTACTTGGTGGTGCTGGTTAGGCTGCTGTGTACACAGCACATTTCCTACTAGAAGCATTGCACTCCTATGGGAAGGAGTGAGGTGGTTGAACCCGGCCTCCCTTTCTTGCGTGTTCAGTTGGTTTTGCTCAAGTTTTTTGGCTTGCTCCAGAGGCAGAGTGTTGTCCTTCACTGCTCTTGAAAAGGAAATTCTGTGGGGATCAACAGGAGTTTGCTCCTTGAGGTATCGACGCGTGGAAAACCTTGGTGTGCTGCTTGTTTAGAATCGTTCAGCTGATAGAAGCGCCCAGGACAGCCTCAGCTTTCCTCGATTCCTCCGAGGCATGTAGCATCCACCCATACACTGTCCTAAGGAACTGGGGTATGTGTGATTAGCTGGGGTGCCTGGGAACTGCAGTGTGAGCCTGTCCTAGGAGCCTGAATCAGAAACAGTGAGCTATTAGCCAGGCACACGGGCAAGGCAGATCTGCTCTGTGTGAACTGACACTGAGAAGGGTTATTGAGGAGAGAACTCAGTAGTGCAAGCTGTCTGTATAAAAGCTATCATCAGCCTCAAGGAACCCCATTAATTTCAGGCCCTGCAGTGCAAGGCACAGGGCTGGAGAGAGCAGGAATCTGTCTACAGCGTGGGCTGCAGGGGGATAAGCCTGCGAGCTCCCTGCAGGCTGGGTTAAAGCATCCCTGGGCTGTCTCTGGATTCCTTCCCCTGATTCTCCTGGTGTCTCCCCTCGGCAGGTACGCGGTCATTGCCTACGGCTGTGCCAGCTGCCCCAAGCTGACCTGCGAGAGGGACGGCTGCCACACGGAGTTCTGCTACCACTGCAAGCAGATCTGGCATCCCAACCAGACCTGCGACATGGCCCGCCAGCAGCGGGCACAGGCGCTGCGGGTGCGCACCAAGCACACGTCAGGCCTCAGCTACGGCCAGGAGTCCGGCCCAGGTATGGAAGGATGCTGCAGAGGGGCTCTTCCTCAGGGACTGGAGTGACAGGACAAGGGGTGATGGGTTCAAACTGAAACGGGAAGTTCAGGTTGGAGATAAGGAAGCTCTTCCCTGTGAGGGTGCTGAGGTGCTGGCACAGGGTGCCCAGAGAAGCTGTGGCTGCCCCATCCCTGGCAGTGTTCAAGGCCAGGTTGGACAGAGCCGTGAGTGACATGGTCTAGTGTGTGGTGTCCCTGCCCATGGCAGGGGGGTTGGAACTAGATGATCTTAAGGTCCTTTCTAACCCAAACTATTGTATGATTCACACCTTGCTATGGTTACTTTTGCCTGTGGAGCTGAGAAAGAGCCATCTGAAGGCAAAACTCTTCTTGCCAAAGCAGGGGGGTGTTAGTGCCTTGCAGGGAATGCTGCTGCCTGGCATAGCCGAGGGTCTTCAGCAGCCACCAGTGAGACCAGCTATGAAAATCAGAGTCATTTCCCCTTCTCGTGTGTGTTAGAACATGATGGGCTCCTCCAAGAGCACAAAACAGCTGAGGAGGTGATGATGTGCTTTGAGTCCTTCTGCGTCACGGCAGCTCCCCTCATCCGCCCCAGCTCCTTTGTGGCTCCTTTGATCTTGGATGTTCTCACTTCTTGCCAATCTAAACCCTGAACAAACAGGCACTTTTTACTCTTGCAGCTTCAAATCTGCCTGCTGCAGTAGTAAGGAGCAGCATTCATGCCTTGCTGAGTGCGGGGAGCCTCGCTCTGCGTGCTGTTAGGTGTTAGTAATGTCAGGGACTGAAGAAATGCCGAGCCACAGACTCCCACACTGCCTGGTAGGAGCTGCTGTGTCTACTGAGTTAGTGTGGGTTAAAAATAGCTGTATTGACCCTGGAAGTGGGCAGTGAGGCTGGTTCATAGAGTCCTGCCTTACCCCTAAACAAAACACTCTGTTTTTCCTTCTCTGTCAGGGGTTTAAATGTTAATATGCTTCCTTAGAATGGAGCTGCTGTGGGTGGTTCCAACGTGGCTTAGTGGTATGTTGAAGTTCAACATGCCCCAGTTAGAGGGCCCTGGTAATGGACAGCATAGATGCTGTTTGTACCCCAGCCTGTGGTACAAACCAGCAGCAGCAAATAGTTCCTGAGTTTTTCCATCCTTTTAAAGGAGATCCCTGCCAGGAAAAGCTTTGTGCTTATTAGCCACTGAAAGGGAGGTTCTTGAGACAGTGGTTTTTCCCCACCCTGTTCTTGCTGGGTTCAATGTGGTGATTAATAAGGTGCGAGCTGGTCTCAGCAGCTGGATTTCATATTGTGGAGTGTTGCAGAGGCTGCCAGCAAAGCCCTCAGCCACTGCATGGCGTAACCGCTGTCAGATGATGCTTGGATTAAGGAAGATGTGAAGGCTCCTTCTTCTCTGCCAGCAGCAAAGCAGGGACTGCACATCCTCTGCACTGGCTGCAGACCCTGTTCAGCTGCTTTTCGAGGTCAGGTTCAGTTTCTCCGAATCCTTGTGCTCCCAATTGTTCTGTCATTCTTGGCCTTTGAATCAGCACAGTGGAGCAATTTAGTAATGGTTCACTCTTGTTGCTGCCTTGGCTAGCACAGGGCAGGTATGACTTGTTCCCAGCATTTAAGCATGTTCTGGAATACATCCTGTTCAAAGCCAGAATAAGCTTTTAAAGCAGCTGTTGTTCTCAGTCCCTGCTCCCCAGCCAAATGCCTTTGGCGGGCTCTGTCTCATCAATATTATCTTCTCACTCTGAAGATAAACTAAAGGCACAACCACCCCACTTCATCCGAGTAGCAAAAGTGTCCTGCCCGCACAGAAACCACGGGGGTTGATCCATACTGAGGTTCCCCCTTGTTGACTGTTCCTGCTCCCAGCACAGAGCCCAACTCAGTCCCCTGCTCCCTCCCCACAGCCGATGACATCAAGCCGTGCCCGCGCTGCAGCGCGTACATCATCAAGATGAACGATGGGAGCTGCAACCACATGACGTGTGCTGTGTGTGGCTGCGAGTTCTGCTGGCTCTGCATGAAGGAGATCTCAGACCTGCATTACCTCAGGTGAGGAGGGGAGCAGCCTGGCTGCCCTGGGGCTCTTTGCAGGAGCCTCCTGCCTCTTCAAACAGGCAGTAAAATGTTCTTTCTGACCCAAAGAGCTCAATGTTCTTCCTGCTTTGAAGCAGGAGGATGCTCTTCTACACAAGAAAAGTTCTGTGTTTGAGAGCTCTTGGTGTACTGGGTATTAAGCATAGGCCCAGTAGTGTGGTCATCACCTTGAGGAGCAAATTAATCGTGATGGGGAGAAAAAGAGGGAAAGCTTTTTTGTGTTGTCTGCCTGCTTCCTGAGCTTTGTCTGTGTGGAGGTTGAACGGGGGGTTCTCAGGAATTGCTGTCATGCTAATGTCATTGTTTGTCCCTTCCATTAAGCCCCTCTGGCTGCACATTCTGGGGCAAAAAGCCATGGAGTCGTAAAAAGAAGATTCTCTGGCAGCTGGGCACGTTGATCGGCGCTCCCGTGGGCATCTCCCTCATCGCTGGCATTGCCATTCCTGCTATGGTCATTGGCATCCCTGTGTACGTTGGGAGGAAGGTAAGTGTGGAGAGCAGAAGGCTGGAGCTGAAGGGTTTGGGGCGTTCTCTGCTCTCAGAGCATCTGAGCAGAAATTCAGAGCTGATGTGAAGGGTGGATCTGGTCATAGAACCCACCTTCAGTTGTCTCTTCTAAGCGTTGCCTTATCTTTAGAGCTTTGTGTGGGGAGAGGGAAGGTGGTGGCTGACAGCCCTTGTGCCTCTGCCTTGCACCAGGAGCACCCAAGGAGAGACCTGGTCCCTTTTTAACACATGCTGTGATGATGGGCCCTATGGAACAGTAGCTGGACCCTGAGCATCACACTTTGGCTTGCATAACTCACTCATATTTTGATGCTGCCCTGAACTCTGTGATGCTGTTGTGTGTCTGTGCTGATAAAGAGGCATTGAGAGGGAGGAAATGGTGTGTCAGCACTGGTTTTGTACCTCCTTCTTTTTCCTCAACACAGCCCCACCTACTAGATCTGATCTGTGGTCACAATGAGGTTTTTAAGAGCTAATGCAGCTGGCAAGGCTGTAAAATCACAAGCTCATTCATGTCTTCTGCTGGTGTTTGCTCATGGCCAGGCTCTATTCTCACCTGGTGCTTCTCCTTCTGTCAGATCCACAGCAGGTATGAGGGAAAGAAAACCTCTAAGCACAAGAGGAACTTGGCCATTACTGGTGGGGTCACCTTGTCTGTCATTGCCTCTCCAGTCATCGCTGCTGTTAGTGTTGGTAAGTGGGCACAGTCCCTTTCCCTTCTGGTGGGCCAGTAGTCACCGAGACCAGTGGGTAGAGCAGCCCTGTGAGGTGGGGGTGGCTGAAGGGTGGTTTTGCTCTTCTGGGCACAGGGCTCCATTTCACATCCACATCCTGATGTGCCTGAGGTGGCCTGGAGCCAGCCCAGGGCTTCTCTGGAGCACCAGATGCCTGTGCACAGCCCATAGTGGAGCCCCTTGACATGCAGAGCTGCCTCTTGCCCACGGATTGGTTTGGTGGCTGATGTCTTGTGGGTTCAGCCATGGCTGTCTGTGCTCTTGGGGTTCCCTTATGCTGCACTGCAGCAGCACAGGGGGCTCCTCCACCATCTGTCTGCAAAGTTGTGAACTAGAACTTTTAAGGGCAGCATAAACACAACTGGAGGAGTCCCTGCCCCAAGGGATCCTTTCTGTCTGCCCAATACAGCTCCTCTGACCTCAGCACACCCTCCTCTGCAGGTATTGGAGTCCCCATCATGCTGGCTTACGTGTATGGTGTGGTGCCCATCTCACTGTGCCGGGGCGGTGGCTGTGGGGTCAGCACTGCCAATGGAAAGGGCGTGAAAATCGAGTTTGATGAAGATGATGGACCCATCACAGGTAACGGGATGAGTGGGGAAGGGAAGGGGGTGAAGCAAGACCCTGTCATTGCCTCTTGTAATGAAGTGAAATTCCAGTCTGGATGCTTCCGAGACCTGAACGTCTGCCTGGGTTTGGCTTGAAGCAGTTACTCGCTTCAGGCTTCTAGTGATGAGCTCAGTAGCTCCTCAAAGCAGTATCTCAGCCCTTCCTTGCCCTGGATGAGGCCGGGAGCCAGTCTGGGATGAGGCACATGCTGCCTGACCCCAGCTCTGCCAGCACCATCGCAGCCGGGCGCTTCCCTTGCTGATTCCCGTTCCTGTGCTGCTCTTCCCGCAGTGGCCGATGCCTGGCGAGCCCTGAAGAACCCCAGCATTGGGGAGAGCAGCATCGAGGGGCTGACCAGCGTGTTGAGCACCAGTGGCAGCCCCACTGACGGGCTCAGCGTGATGCAGGGCAACTACAGCGAGACGGCCAGCTTCGCCGCGCTCTCGGGGGGCACCCTCAGCGGGGGGGTCCTCTCGGGAGGCAAGGGCAAGTACAGCAGGTAACTGAGCTGCTGGGCACACAGGAAAAGGGGAGAGGCTCCCAGGGCTGGTGGTGGCTGGGCAGGCTTATCCTGGGGAGCTCTCCAGGGCTGTGAGCGGGTCCCTCTCTGACTTGGGAGTTGTGTCCTGGTAGTTTTTCATAGGATGATTTGGGTCGGAAGAGACCTTAAAGCTCCTCCAACTCCAACCCCCTGCCACGGGCAGGGACACCTTCCACTGGAGCAGGTTGCTCCAAGCCCCTGTGTCCAACCTGCCCTTGAACACTGCCAGGGATGGGGCAGCCACAGCTTCTCTGGGCACCCTGTGCCAGCGCCTCAGCACCTTCACAGGGAAGAGCTTCTGCCTCAGAGCTCATCTCAATCTCCCCTCTGGCAGGTTCAAGCCATTCCCCTTGTCCTGTCCCTGCAGGCCCTTGTAAAAAGGGCATCTTGGTCTGTTGTAGCATAACCAGTCCCAGCATAACCAGTCCCAGCAGACCAGGCTACTTCTGGAGCCAGCGCCAGGCTGGTTCTTGCAAGGAGGACAAAGAGAAGTTTCTGTCCCTACTGAGCTCCTTCAAACTGCACAGCTGATGCTTCAGGTTAATTGGGAACAGCACAGAGATGCCTGCGTGGCCTGCTTAAAGCTCTTCCAGTTCTCTTATCCCACGCTGGAGGCTTTGATGCTTCCCATTCCCCGTGGCCTATAGCAAGCAGGGTCACTGCTTGCCAAGTCAGGAGGCTGCACCACAGTTTTCCTCTGAACATGCCTATGAGTCAGTTTGGGTGATTGGAGACACGTGTTGAGGTGGCAGCCAGGATCCCATCATGGCTCTGTGCTGGAGCTGTGCAAATCGCTTCTTTGCAGGAATTGTGAGTCATAAACACAACTTCACCTTCGTCATGGAAAACAGAATGGCTTTACCTAAACAGAGCCAAAAATGAGGCTGAATGAGAGAAACCATTGGGGTTAAACTCTTGTCATGCCGAGCTGCACCAGCACAGGGGGCCTCTTGCCTTCCTATGATGAACAGTGAGTGGTTGGTGCCCCTCGGGGACCATCTAAGGCATTTCTGAGGAATCCTCTTCTTTCCTGCAGGCTGGAAGTTCAGGCAGATGTCCAGAAGGAGATTTTCCCCAAAGACTCTGTCAGCCTGGGGGCTATCAGCGACAATGCCAGCACTCGAGCCATGGCTGGTTCCATCATCAGCTCCTACAACCCCCAGGACAGGTAGGAGGACATGCACTGGGGAGGAGGGTGCTGGCAATGGGGGTCCTGGCATAATCTCTGCTCTGTGGGGTGCTGCTGTGGGTGACAAGTACAGTGGCACCAGCCTGTTCCTCAGGAGCTGGCAAGTGGATTGATCCTTTTACGAGTACAGAAGGAGGGCTGGGGACAACGTGGGAGCAGCCTCCACATGTGGTGTGGAGGCTGAGGAGGGAATCTGTAGCTCAGGACTCTGAAGGGCTGTTCCTGGCTGGTCACTCTGGTGCTTTCCCAGTTCAGTTCCTGGCTTACAGCCTGGGATGATCTCAGGAGGAGGACTCAAGGAGAGCAGCAAGTGTTACTGTTTCCCAGATGCTGCAGGGTGATGAGCAGCATCTTGCTCATGTTTGGCAAATGTGATCCTTCCAGAACAGTGGCGACTTAGTGGAACCAGTAACTCTTCCCAGTAACACAAAGGTGCTTGTTCCTGCAGGGAGTGCAATAACATGGAGATCCAGGTGGACATCGAAGCTAAACCAAGTCACTACCAGCTGGCCAGTGGCAGCAGCACAGAGGACTCTCTGCACGTCCACACCCAAATGGCAGAGAACGAGGAAGAGGAGGAGGACGGGGAGCAGGAGCAGACATGCAAACACCAAAGCTGTGAGCAAAAGGACTGCATTGCCAGCAAAACCTGGGACATCACCCTGGCCCAGCCCGAGAGCATCCGGAGCGACCTGGAGAGCTCCGACAGCCAGTCGGACGATGTGCCGGACCTTACCTCGGACGAGTGCGAGTCCCCCCAGCCCCCGCCTGCAGCAACCTGCCCCCAGAGCCCAAGTGCCCCCCTGAGCCACTGTGCCCAAGCCGAGGGCTGCAGGCTGGATGACATGGTCAAGCTGGAGTGCATCGAAGCCAGGGTGTGAGGTGGCCTCCTGCTGACAAGCACTTCCGGCATTGCATCTTTGTGGGGCAGGGTTGTGTCTGTGTTGGCTTCTGTCTGCGAGTCTCCAGTGGCTCCCCAGCCCCCCCCAGGGGGAGCTGCTGTTTCTTACGTGACAAAAAACAAAGAAAAAGGAAAAAAACAAAAAAAGCCTAATCCCCATCCCCTCTTTTTGTTTTAATTTATTGGTCCAAGCTCTGTGAGGTGTGTAAGAGTGTAAATATGTACGTGTGTCTGTACGTCTGCAACCATCCTAAGGGACTATTGGAATAAAGCCTCTGTTTGTCATTCGACTTGCATCCAGTTCATCCTTTGCAGGGATGTACAGTGACCCCCTCTGGCTGCCTTTGCTTAAGCATTCCTAGCCCAAGGCATCTCCTCTTCTGCCTCTAGGAATGGGGCTGGCACAGCCTTGTTCTGGCTGCAGCAGCGATGGGGGCAGTGCATGTGCCACACAGGGCTTTGTGCTGAAGCTGGGGCAGGGAGAGGTGTCTCTTCTCCCCCAGGAGGTGGGGATGGATGGGGAAGGGGATGAGGCATCGTGGCAGTGTTTGGTATGGCACAGGGCAGGACAGGGCTGTGCTGCTCCATGGAGGTGGGGGAGGGTGGAGTTACCCCCTTGTTCATCCCAGGGAGCTGGTCGGACAGGAACTGGAGCAGCAGCGGGTGCAGCAGGAGAGCAGCTGCGGGAGCCTGGTCCTGTAGGGACCTGGCTGGATCCGGTTGCCAACGCAGGAGCAATGAGGGGCTCCAAAGGCCTGATCCTGGCACGGTGAAGATGTGTCAAGTGAGTGAGTCTGGATCTGGTGTGATGATCACAACAGGAGGCTCCTGCAGGGGAAACTCAGGCAGGGAGGGAGGAGAGCCAAGGGGCTTGGATGGGGTCAGGGATGGAGCTGGACTGAGCACCCAGGTGATGGGTGGTGTCAGGGTGGGGAACAGCCCCACTGCTGCTATAGTCACCCCTCAAGAGCACCAGGTGCCAAAACCCTGCCATTGATGGGAGGCTGCTGTCCCCAGGGCTTCCTCCTGGCTCCGGGGAGCCCCAGCTCCAACAGGGACCTGCCCTTTGGCTGCTGGCCCCAGCAGAGCGGGCTGGAAACGGTGGTTCACGGACCAGGGCTCACTCTGGACTCTCGGGATGCCCGAGAGCGGGCACCAGGGATGCAGCCCCCGAAGTGCGTTGCCTCGCAACGGGCAAGCAAAGGAGGATGGGAGGGGAGCCGAGGGGCGCTGCCTGCCCGGTACCACATGAGCGTGATGCCATCGTGTGGCCACAAGCGGTACTGCACGAGCTGCGCATCACCTACAGCGGGTGAGCTCGGAACGCGTTTTAGGGAGCAGACTGCCGTGGTGGTGGCACCGTGTGTAGGTGATGCCCAGCACCAGCGCTGGGTCCTGGCACGTCAGCTGTGAGAGCAGGTGCTGGATGTTCGCATTGTGGAGCTGTGCTCCAGGCCAGCCGTGTGTGTTCAGGACAGGGGCAGTATGCAATGGTGTTTACGGTGGCAAGGCAAGGACACATCGCCATGCTGGTTGCACCATTCCAGAGGTCTCCAGGTGTAGGAATTAAGTTGGTATTTCCATAAGTCGTCATTAACCCCCCTGGATTATTTTTCGTGGGCTTCAGCTACAGAATGAGCAGTGAGATGAGTGGGAACAATGGGCTTTGTTACCCTTACCAGGCACCAGAAGGTTCTCTGAAACTGTTGATGTTCTGATCAGGTCCTTCAGCTAACTTCCTGCCAGGGCAACTCTATTTCTATAGAAA